TCTCATTTATATGATTGCAGTAGTGTCCTAACAGGTCTCCCTGCCCCAGGCAAATCCGCTCCATTTTATTCTTTTATTCTCCACTTCAGTATCTTTCTAAAACACCTCTCTCTTCTGCCATGGTCCCCGCTGCAGCCTGCCAGGTAGCTCCCTTCGCTGCCAGGGAACATCCTCACATACTCAGCATGGCATGCGAGCCCCTCAGTCCTGTCTGTGCTGCTTTCCAGCCCCACTCCCACCCCCTCCTGAGCACTCTTTTCCCAGCCTGCCCTTTGGCTACCCTTGCTCAACTCAAGGTCTCCCAAGCCTGCCAGGCACATTGAGGGCTCCATGCCTCTCTTCACTTCCGTCCCGCAAAGCCTTCCTGAAATGCCCTTACCGCAGATTTCTCCTTAGCCTTCAAGAATCAACTCACAAGGCAAGCTCCTTTGACCTTCTTCTCTTGACCCCTACAGGGAAAACAAATCCTTTTCCTTACTTAGGCTCCCTGGCATCTGGTACAAGCTGATACCGGAGCATACATCACATTGCCTTGTTAATTATGGTTTGCAAGGAGGTTTCTCAGGCTAGAATGTATGCTCCACTAGGAGATAAGGCCAAATCACATCCCTCTTAAAAACTCAGCTCACAGCATGGGGTCTGTCACATACTTAGAAGCTTGGTTAAATGAAATTACATGAAGGCACTGATCTTCTTTTCCCATTTTAGTTTAGAACAGTTCACCCCATCAAGCAACTATTTACTGCCAAAAGGAAGTTACTCTTTTTTGGGCGAGATTTCTATCCCTAGGTCACTGAACCTATTCTTTTTAGCTGGCTGGAGAGCACAAGGCCTGTAGCTTGGACATCTCTTGGGTTACAGCAAGGGCTTCAGTCTCCAAGCCATAGCGTGGCCAGGAGGACTGAAGCACCTGCCATAGACTCAGCTTGTGGCCAAACAGCATGATAAAGCCTTGGTCTGTCATTTAAATGTCCACCCCTCCCATTTATTTCTGTATATTTTAGGACTTGAGCAAAGGACAAAAAAACTTCACAGAGACACACTGGGGCATGGCATAATGTCTATACATCAGCTGCAAGTTTTCTAAGGATAGCATACAAATGTCCCAAAGAGGGACTACAGGAAACCAAGAGATAACTGTGTCCACTGGTACCGGGGCTTCTTGGGGCTCCCTCTTAAACTGAGGAACCATGAATGTGGGATTTATTGAAAGGTCAGAACCCCCAGGGATCCTTATATTTCTCAACTGTAGATTTAACACTTGTACACCTTCAAACTCCAAGAAAAGTTCAGCATGGGCTTAAGGCCCTTCGTCTGTACCCCTCTTCCTCCTAGCCAAACTTTAAAGCTTATAGCAGCTGGTAGGGGCTCCAAAATACTAAGTTCAGGGCATTCCCTGGGGCTTTCAACATGAGTTAAAGGGTCTGGAGCCTCAGGAGCCAATTCCGGGAGGGCTTTCTGGGACATCTGGGAGTCTCTGGTTACCTAGTGGACCTCACAGATCGCTGGTATTGAAGCGCATACATGAGGCTGACACTCTGGGGATAACTTTATATTGGTTTAAGGCCAACCTGAAAATGCCTCCAACTATTGGTGTCAATGGGTGTGGGGTCTGAGTCTTGGGGTTGGGGGAGCCAATGTAAAAAAATCTTACTTCCTGTAATTTGATAACTCATAAAACTATCTGAAGATTCATACAGAAAAAAGGGAGGGGGCAGGGTAGGAGTTTAGTTATGTGGGGGTACAAATTAGGTCTTAAGTACATTGAGGAAATGGGGACAAAGATTAAAGGAAGGGCTGAGGGCATGACTGCAGGAGTGTCTGTGGGGAATCACCTGAGGTTTTGCAGGGATAACAGGCATTATTGTCTCATTAAAGGGGAAATACTTGTGAGGTTTTTGGGTCCCAATATGAGTATTTCTCTGACTTGCCTAAGAACAAGGCTGAACAACTCTGGGTCAGCTCCAGAATCTACCGGAGAGGAAATCCAGGCATAGGCAGCAAATATACTTTATTTGTATTCTTCTCCTTAAAGTTTTGAGGAGTTAATCTTAGACTCGAGCATCTTCAGCCCATATTTACAGTATGCCCAAATGGACCATCTCTCAATGGTATACTTTCCAGCCCCACTCCTACCTCTCTTGGAAGTGAACTTAGGAACAAGTACTTCTATTATAAATAAAACAGAAAGCAAAACAAACAAGAAAAATAGATAATTTAGTGTTGCAGAGGACAAAGAAAGTTGGGGGAGAAATGCATTTCTTATGCTGCCTAACTGCAAAAGACCAGTGAAATGGCAGGGTAAGGATCTTGCAGTGTGTGAACACCCATCTGCCATGGTGATTCTGTGACTGTAATTTCATAAAATGCTTATGGAGCACCTCTAATGCGGTAGAAATAAGCACTGAGGATGAAGAGGTGATTTAAGCAAAGCCCCTTCAAGGAGCTCCCACTCTATGGGAGAAAATTCATGAATTATAATAGAGTGGCAGGACCACTAAGTTTGGTTGTGGGCCGCCTGGGTCATGCAGAGTAATGCCTCTAAGCACAGAAGTGGTTTGCTGACAAAGGATGTGTCTGGGATCAGCTGCCCTTGGTGATCCTCCATTCCAACTGTAAGTCGATGTAGAAAAAGGGTGCAGCTGAGCTCTGCGATGTATTCAGGATATAGCTGCTAAATCTTAACTACAGTTCTTCTGGCACTGCTAACGAGGCTCGATTCTGCCTGGCAGCCAAAGGCTGCCAAATCCTGATTTAAGACATTGCCTTCCCCAAAGAAAAATAGCTATAATGAAAATAGCTTATGTCTTACATAAACTCTTAGCAGTAAAACAAACACATTACCTTTAAATGGGGCCTATAGTATTTTGGTCCATATGGACTGCCACACTGACTTAGAAGTTATTTCTTACTGTGCCTTTTATCTCGTTTCCATGAGTTTTATAGCTTTGATAGCACCCATTTGATTGTACTCAATGAACTTTTAATTTTAAAATTTGTCCAGAAGAATCTTTCTCAACATTTTAATTGTTTGACCTTGATTTGTGATCAAACTCACCAACTTTTCTGAATCTTGGTTTCATCAGTAACAAAAAATGGGGACAATAAAGTCCACAAGACCAGAGAGCAGTTAAGGTTCAAATGAAATAGATATATGTGAAAGCAGGAGCCTATCTGAAAAACCGTCTCTGCTTTAAATCTGAATGAGAAGTCTTACAGGCCTGGATTTGACCCAAAGCCGCTATATCCTGGAGTGGGAAGACTAGATGAACCTTCTCCTGGTAAGAAAAACATGAAGAGGGCAGAGAAAGGAAGAGATGAAGGTGATCTGGCACTGACAGAATACCTATTGATAGCTGACACTGACTTGGCTCATCAGGCTAGTACTTCTCAGCTCTTACCCTATGCTCCTCATCCTCTCTCTGTTACTCATCTTGCTGTATGAAGGGAAACTATTCTTTGGTGGACAAAAAAGGGGAGGGCCTGAAATCATGAGTGCCTTTATTGTAGAAAGGGGTTTTTGGAACTCCAAGGATGGCATCTAAGACAGCATATATGAGACGTATACAGCCTAACTAAAGACAGATAATAAGATGTTGTCTATATGTTATGGCATAGGTATATAAACCTGCCCATTTTTACAAAAAATGTAAAGAAACCCAGCCCATGTACATTTGGACAAAGAACTGTCCAACTCCAAAGACAGGATTATGGGCTTAAATAAGTGAGGTTAAAAAAATCTATTGAGTTCAACAATTTAAAATGCATTGAGTTAGGCAGTAAAGTGACTGGCAGAACCTTTCCTTGAATAAAACAAAGTGATGACTTGACTGTTGAATTTCTTAATTCATTTGGTGTTGCAAAATTTAATTAATATTGCTTAATATGGTCTGAAATTGCCTATACATCGGCAATTCTTAGCCAACAGATTTGTAGTTGGGCCACTTTCTGCATAAGGGACAAGTCATATACATTATTCTTTTTTATACATTATTTATAATTTGTGATTTATTTAAAAGTTATTCAATTCCCTACACACGCCAGTATGGTGACTAAGGACACAACTGAATGCTTAACTTGTTTAAACATGTACTACAATATACGTTATCATTTTGATAAAAAGTAGTAATTTTCAGTTATGAGGAAGATTTACAAGGTATCAAACCTAGAACAAACAGTAATACACCAAATAATTCAAGAAACCAACTTTGGTAATACAGATGTCTATTTTATTAAAAAAGTTACAAACAGGTGGATTGCAGGGTCATCTTACAAAATGACAAGAATGAAGTCTATTGGAAAAACTTTACTTTTACAAATCTTTATAGGTTATTGTTCAATGTTTGTACTTGTTACTTGAGATTTTTACCTTTCATTGATAAAGTTACAGTACATTAGATCCATAACAGTTACATGATTTGATTTGATTTTTACAGAGCCCTACTGCAGTGATTTGAACAACTCCTAAACAGATGCCATAGTAAAAACAAGATATATATTGCATTTAATATTAATTTATTATCCTAATAAGCAACTTGACATGCAATCTATGGAGGAAGCTAAAATAACTTTTGGTCCCTTTTCTTAAAATGTGCTGGAGAAACCACCTTTAAATCACTTTTCCCCTGATTCCTATGATCCTAAGTGAATTCAAGTTAAATTTGCTGCTGAGGTCAATGAGAAAAAAAACTATCCCTGGGAAAGAAATGATGTATTAAAAAAAAATTCATGTGCAGAAAGTTGAAATCATCATGATTTGATTCCCTTAAGAATTTTACACAGCTAATAAATGAACCACGTTCACTTAACTTAGTTTGAACTGTCTGGTTTTGTTTGGTATTAAAGTGAAAACTTAAATTAGGTACTTATTTCAAGAGGTTTATAAATAAGGAACACTATTTCAATTGCTTCCACCCTTAAAATCTCACCATGAAATTCAACAATCTAAGATCAAGAGTTCACTTTGAGGGAATCTGATCAGGAATCAAATTACAACACGATTTAAAAAAAGGAAATCAAAGTTTAATCAATTTCTACACAATAATTAATGGTCATGCTGACCAATAAATCACATGAATGTAGATATCACTTTATTTGAACATCACACACAATATAAATTTAAAATTGCCACACCCTTCCATAAACCATCACTGCATATATTAGAGCTTTCCTTGACAAAGTTATTGAGCTATTATTATAGATCAAAAGTATAGTTTTGGTTGTTTTGTTTTATTTAGAAGCATGTTCAAATGACTAAAGCTGGGCTCCTAAAATTGAGAACTTTGGTGCAGTAGGTGAGCTGCAGTTACTAACTTCTGCAAATTAAAAGCACACAACTAAAACCAAATACAAACCTAACAAAATACTGTCAAACTTACAAAATTTTAAAGTCACTGCTAGAAAAAGCGCTAGTTGTCATGTTGTTAAAACTGAACCAGAAGATTACTCTTTATAAGTTTCCTTTCTGTTTTTATACCTGTGTTACTGTTAAAATGTTCAAGTATTCAGACAAAATGTGCTGATTAGGTAAACAACACGGAAGGCAATGGCTATTAGAAGCACATTTGGAAAAAAAAAAAGCCCAGAGACTCGGCGCTATCCTCTCTCCTGTTAACACAGATTTTTGTCTCTACTACGAACATGCTTCTTGAGAAATAACTAAAAAGCAATTTGATAGTGCAAGAAAACTTTAACAAATATTGCTTTAAACTATTACTCAGAAAGACAAATATTAAGAGCTAGAAAGTATATATGATTTTATTGAATTCAATTTTACATGTGCAGAAGTCTACTAGATGTCAATTACAAGCCTGCCAGGCAAAGCTGAGCTATCTCTGTTTAGGTATACAATTAATTTACCATGGATACAATATCCCTTTTCAAAGGCATTGCTAAGTAGGTCATAACTAAATTTAGAACTTCACAGAAAGGAAAATGTTACTGCTGCAATTCTATGCTGTAAATGAGATTAACACATGTGAAAACCTAATGGAATCAAATGTTCAACTCCTGCGCTAAATGCTCTACAGTCAATTTCAAATATCAATTTTAACTTTCAGAGCAGTTAATTACAAAAACACATCACAAACTGCACTTGAAGAAAAGGGATATTCCAACCATAAAGGTAAATTGTGATCTTTAGTTTCTTTTTACAACACTGCCACACGTAAACGAAGTCTGAAACTATTAACCAACCATTTAAAGAAGAAAGATTTTACAAATAGAATGAAGCACTGGTGCGAGGTAATATACAGAAGTAACCATTTGTTTAAGGCTCAATTTTTTTCTCCATTATAACTTTCTCTTAAAAGGCATTGAGTAGGTAATACTGAGTTTGAGTATTTAATAAATACAAGTTGAGAAACTGATTAAAGAAAGCAATCAAAATATTAAAAACTAATTCTTGCATATTAGCCGTCAAAAAGAACTTAGAAAGCTACAAAAGACTGACTGATAAAGAACAGATTTTAAACATATGGTAAACGTGCTAAGCATTCCTGTTTAAGGTCGATGGATCTTGAAGGCCAAAGACCTTATGCACTTAATAAGATGTATGGCAACATGCTGTAATAGAGACAGGTTTACCAAGGCTCAGTTCTGCAACCCAGGTTGTAAAGTTCTCCAAAGCAGCATCTGTGCAAATTTCCTCTGAGTTTTATCTGCAATTGAGATAAAAATGTCATCAAAACGTAGAAATGTAGATTATAGCTTAAATTGAGAACACTGACAACAAACCTAGATGCACATGGAAGTGGTACCAGACTAACTTAAGGTGGAATTTCACTGCGTTCCCCATCAGTGTAAGTTAAAAAGTAATTTTATGTGGTCCAAAAACATCAAGCAAATTAGAAACACTGTAATGATGCACTGAATATAATTAATACTGTGTGTGACTTCTCTGGTTTATTTTTTAGAATATGGTTATACTTTATACTTACATTACACTTTATAAAATACTAAAAATGCTCTTACTGGTTTAAAAGATGGTACAGTATAAAAGTGACAAATGTTACTTGAACTTTGAATTTATCTCTTATGAGCTGACGGTATGCAAAACTTTTTCAAAATTTAGCTGTTTTGAAGACTTTAAAATAAGAAAATGTAATCCAATCAGGGTCTAGGTATTGAGCACTTACTAGGTGCCCTGACTTGTGTTGGACGCTAAGTGACAACAGTATGTCACATTTCCCACTCTAGTCTGCCCTTTGGGGACATCCCCCCAACCACAGGAACTTCTCTTATGATTGGGAATTCTCAAGCCTCTGCTTTTACAGTTGATAGACTTCTGCCCGTCTCATGAATATCAGGGAGGAAAAAATCTATCATTCAGACTTGAACTTTGCTGGATCACCAGAGCTTCTAAAGGGAGTAGAATTACATTTGTTTTTTAGTATAAAAAATAAAAATTGTTAAATAAAGCCAGAAACAAAAAATATAACAATGAAAGAATGTCAGGTAAAACCAATTTAAGATCATCTAAGGGCTCTACCAATGTTTATACATGCATAATTTTAATTTCATTTGACAGCTACACTTCTATTAGTGTTCAAAGAACCTGAAGGAACTCTTTAGTAGCAGCTAGATCATAAAAACGATTACTTTTAAAGAACATCTCCCTACCCGTTATTGAAATTTGCCACCTAAACACATTAGGAAAAATAGAACAAAAGTCTGCTTCTTTAGAAATTGTTACAGAAACATTTTTTTCTAGTCAAAATTAAGTATTTTTTGCATTAAAGCAAATTGTTAATTAGGACACAGGTTATTTAAGCTTGGGCAAAGTGCAGTTTCCTTATCATTAAAAAAAGGTAAGAATTCTTTCCTCACAGGGTTGTAAATATCCTGTAAGGTAATATGTGGAAGTACCTTATAAAGTATGCAAATGTCAGGTTTTTTTCATTTCTCAACTATGTCATAAATTTCTAGAAGACCAGGAGTATATCTTTGATATCCAGACTAAAGATCTTTGTTTTTTAGCCTAATTTGAATTTTTCTATCTATGTGAACACAAGAAAATTTCATTATATATGCAATTTGTGGTGAAAACTTTTGATTCAGACAAGGCTTTCCTCAATTAATTTCAATTAATAAGTATTTTCAAAATAAGTTATAAAGTTTGGGATTTCAAATATTATTTGAATAGCTACACTTCTTGTAAATAGTGAAGAGTGGTAATATTTAATGATTTCATAGATCAGGAATTGTCTGAAATCAAACTGAAGAATAGTAATTATTTATTTCTTGCCAAAATGAGCATTAGGAATATAAACCAGCTTATTAACCATAATCTACATTAAGTAAAAGGTGATATAAGCATTATTTCTCACCCTCTAAAAACCTGAATTCTAACATGATCCATCCACATTCCGCAGGATGACAATACTCCAGTAAAATCAAGAGACATAGATTAATCCCAGGTCAGATCCAACAATATTAGTATGAGGCATATCATTAAGCCAAATATTAATACCAACTACTTTTCAGGAAAGTAATAAATTTAATTCTTTGCAGTAATAAATCCTGAAGCAAAAGTATGCTTTAAGCAAAAAGGATGGTCTCTCTCAGATTAGAACTTCATGGAATGTGAAATGTAAATGTTACTGCTCCGCACTGTGACAACAAAATTTTCTTAGTACTAACAACTATCATTCAGCTAAATAATAATTCCAGATGCTTTAAAGGCAGCTGGTCAAACTCATATCGTTTTTAACTCCTGGTACATCACATCCAGACAAATTGCAAAAATACAACTTGCTGTTTGTGATACAGAACACAAGTGATCCTTGTCCTCACTCTCAAGTTTCCACTAAGACACTCAACAAATCCCAATTTTGGAAGCTTCTGATCAAACTCTTGCTTAACTGGTTCCACTTTTCCAGTTTTTTTTCTAATTATATTTTGTTATGGAAGAGTACCAAAATGACAATCCCCAACAACTGTCCAAACTTTTTGCTTGGGGAATTATGAAATAGGGTCTTCCAAGTGGGGTAAATTGGTACATGAAAGTACCAAATACAGAACTGAAAGAACAAAGACCATTATTATGTCAGCATGAAAAAAAAGGGAGATTCTTGATTCAAGACTAGCACATCCTTTCACGTGGCTACAGAATGCCTGGGATATTAACAAAGGCTCCTGAAAAGCTTAACAGTTTATCAATGTCCCGTTAGCTTAGCTGGACTTACCCTTTCTAAATGCAATGGTGTTTACTAGCATTCTTTTTAGCAAATATAAATGTGCAATAATAATTTAATTTTTTCCCATTTTTAGACATAATATTCTGGGGATTTTAACCAAATTAATTTCTTAAAAAATGGATTTCCTTTCATTCTTTTCAGTTGGCATTTCCATATACAAATTAAATATTAGTTATATTAGCTAGAATTCTGTTGATAGAGGTTATGTTTTTGTTAACTGTTTGTCTTTGTATCCTACTTTGCATAATACTCATGAAGCCTATTGAGGGGTGGAATTGGAGGACTAGGTCATTAAAAGTGATCACCTGTTATTCATTAAACAGAGCAAAACCTGAACCTATGGTACTGAATCACTGACTCGAAATGGAACCATGATTTAAGAACATGCACCCTAAAAGTTTCTGGTGGACCCAGGGTAGAGAAGAAGGGATAAGTTATTTTTCTTATGTCCTAGGCCTAAAGTCTCTAAATTTAAATTAATATGATGTTTAATTCTGAGACCTCAGGCAGTATGACCAGGTCCCCTGATAACAAGCAGCAGTGTGAACCCAATAATCTGATCCCAGCTGCCAGCTTTGAATTAGACAGGTAGGGTACTGCTCCCTGTAACTCTACATTGCTTTTTCTGAATCCAATATTCCTAAGACTGTAGCTAATCAAAGGAATCTGGATGTATGTTTTAGATAGGGTAAGTTTTTCCAACAGCTGACAGGACTCAAGCTTTTCTTAGCGGTATTATCTTCTGGATTTTAGAATTTCACTGAGAACTAATTCCACGAGGAGAATCTCCCCTGTAGTATGGCTAGAATATTTCCTTGGTGGCAATTCTCCAACTCCAGGATGCAATTTTTAAAAATTCTACTCATGGTTCACTCTAAGCCAGAGAGATAATGGAGTAAAACTGGATGGTTCATGTGCATTTCATTCTGCAATAAAAGCCTAATCTTGAGGTTAAAAGGAAGCAATTAAAGAGGAAACAGATATACAGTCATTCTAATCACCAGGCACCTTCACAACCAGAGCAGGTCTAACAAGGCACCCATCCACTCTGAACAGTCCCAAACTATTAACCTTCTGGGGGTCAGTGAAGGTCTTAGAGGGGGAGGTGGCAGAAAAGACAAGGTAACTCTGTTCTCTCCCTTCTGCTCCAGGTTCACTGCAGGTCTTTCTCATACACACAACCCCCAAAGCATGCTCCCCACTCCATTCAGGGCCACAATGCCACAGGCTCCATTTTGGCTCACCATGTGGATTAGATGACAAATAAACATTTGAAATTAGCTATTTTCCCCACTCAAAGTAGAATGCAAATTAGGGCAAGGAAAAAAAAAACAGGTATCTATCAAACTGTAACTTCTGCAACTGAATTCCACCCGTGCTTTACTGATGATTAACATTTAACTTAGATATGAAAATGCCAGCATTTTGAAGTACACACTGTGATTTAATTTTCATGATATTCCCTTCACACTTGCTAAATCCCCAGCATATCATATCTAACTAAAAGATGGAAAAATGATTAGAAACAATTCTGATTCTATGTATTTTTTTAAAACCCTGAATATGCTAATTGATTCCAGTATGTTTAGAAATAGGCCAGTTAGACTAAAATGACATTCATAGATGGCTCAGCCTTTCGGGAGCCTTTGTTAACATCCCGGGCATTCTGCTGCCACATGAAATGATATGCTAGTCTTGAATCAGAAATCTCCCTTTTTTCTTTGGGCTGACATATATATAATGAACTGAGGGGGACATAAATAATGATCTTTGTTCTTTCAGTTTGATTCCTGGTGTTTGGTCCTAAGCACCATTTACTCTTGCAGGGAGAACCCGTTCCATCATACATGGAGAAAAATAGAGTAACATCTTGCAGGAGGCCTTCAAATCATAGTGAAGTATACCCCTTTTATTCCTGTTTTCTTTTTTTATATATAACTTTCATCAATACTGGACGAAGATATAGGAATCCTTGAGAAATGACTTTTTAAAATTCTATTTGCCAAAAGGTATTTATCAAGCTATCACATTCAAGGAATAACTTTACTGTAATTCCCACCTTTTCAGGGACTCAACAATATTTTAGGGCATTATTTTTCTCCTTTTTGGCATTCCCTGTTTGGAAATTACCTCTCCACTTCCTCTGCCCCTCAAATCATATCCATTTTTCAAGGCCTAACTTCAATGCTACTGTTCCCCAATTCCTCTACATCAGTGGTTCTTGGCCAGAGGTCATTTTGTCCCCCAGGAGATACTGGGCAATGTCTGGAGATACTCTTTTTTTTTCATAACCGGGGAGGTGTGGGGTACACTACTGGGAGCACTATAGTAGGTAGAGGCTAGGGACGCTGCTAAATATCCTTCAATAGACAGGACAGCCCCCTAAAGCAAAGAGCTGAGAATGTTGAGAAACCTGCTCCAACTGGATGTGGTCTCTCCTTTCCCTGAACCCCCACAGCACTGTGCTTTACGTCTTTTATGTTATTATGAGATTAATAAAACACCCATTATTCTCAACAATTTGGTATATCCAAACAGCCGACTGTCAATTATTTACACCAATACAGAGAGAGGAGCTGAGATGTACTTAATAAAAGCAAAACAGGGCTGCAACACTGACCTGGGTTTCTATTACACTGCTGCTGCAGAGTAAAGAAACCCTTGACAGCGCTTGATGGCAGGCTCCTCGGGTCAGTAAGGAAACCAGCCATGAAAGCAGCACATAAAAAACCTGGCCTTGTCTCCAAACGTACCCTGAGATTACTGCCAGTGGGAGGATGAGAGATGGGGAAACAATCTTGGGAGCCATGCAGATAAACAGGTGTTGGGCAAGAGACTGGTGACCCAAACTGAACGCTGGTAAGAAATAAATGTGAGGAATTATCAGAAGCAATTCTTAGAGCACAATAAATTTTCCCTTTCAATTACGAGCAACCAATTTACAATAATCACAGTCCTTCTGACTTACTTGAGCCTTATTATTTCTAACTTGGACAAGGTCCTCTTCTAAATGTTAAGGACACACATTTTTTCAAATCACCTTTACTTTATCAAAATTTGATCTTCAGTCTAGATATGAGGCCAAAAGACTTCAGAGCTCAGGACTCAAGCTACAAAATTCAGAATCTGTCACCTATTATTTTAGATAAATAGTAAGCAAGGACAACCACAAACTTTACAGGTCTCAGTTTACAGATTCCCATATACATCCATTTAATCTTATTCGATGTCGGGAAAAAAATATATAGTGTGCTTTGTTGTAAATGATCTTGGACAGGGAATTCCCTTTATACTTTCAGAAATTCAGCTGATGAGATTTTTTCCCAAGGCTCACACCTTCAATTGTGTATTCTGCTTACAAAAATGAAAACCAAACTACACAGGCAACTTGACCCATAATAAAAAATGAGCAATTATTGGTATTAATGTTTTCTGATTTTTAGTACATTAAAAAAAACATAAACATTGTCTTGAGGTATAAAATAATCTATTCATTTCTATAAGTAACAAAATGGATTAAAAATAATTTAGATCATGGAAGTCATAAAATGAAATATTAGAAGTAACTCAGAATTCTAAGATTTAAAAACAGCTTTAGAAATTATCCATTTGCCAATATGACTGAGACAATCAGTTCTCCCTACATGTATGAAACCAATTTTATTCAGTTTACTTCCTATAGCTGCCTACATTAACGATGAAAAGAAAATTGGAAGTATTTTGGGGGAGCTGGTTAACTTTTTATAAAGATGATGAAATGAAAACATACATATTTATGTCATTTGCCCAGTTAAAAGTATCAGAGAAATAGAGCATAATGGTAAAGACACAATCACCATACAGAACTTGTTCAAACTTGAGGCTGGCTTATAAGAGGAGAGATTACACAAGCAAGAGCATGGGACTCAATCATCTAACGTTCCCTGGTACCTGTCTCAAAAAACTATACTTCAAGTGCGAGAAAACATATGCTGGACTATAGTCTGAAGAACGAGGTTTTAAGGTAACAGATATAGCAAGGTATAACAAAATAACTGTCTTTTCATCATATTCTAGTATGCTAAAAAACTGATGAGTAAAAGCATTTTGAATAAAGCACTGTTGTCATCCTTCATTTTCAAAGATGACACTACCTGACATGAAATCTTGTCAGAAAAGATAAATTAGGGACGTTAGTCTACACTCCAGGGAGCACATATAAAGCCAAACCTTTGATTAGGAATCATCACTGCGATCTGAAATGCCTGTTGCCATTTGCAACACTGCCTCCTAGACTTGAGGTCAGTCTTAGCTCAAAACAATCAATTCTATTCCTGATATTGTCAGGCTAGCCTGCCATTTGCTGTGGTTTCTCAGTCATCCAGGATATTGGCTGTTTTATCTTACTATCTAAGTATTACTGCCTATCTGCCCAATTACAATCTAGATTAAAAGATCATGATATGAATAAAATAATTTCATTAAAAATGCTCAGCAAGTTTTATATAACCTTAATTTTATCAAAAACTCATTCCCTGAAAAACACTGTTACGAAGTTATCACTTCATTCAATGAAAGGTTTGAAGGTTTTGTTATTGTCCTTATTAAACTCCATTATTTATTATTATTAAACTGAATAAAAATGTTTGCTGGGCTTGGGTTTGCTCCTTCTAACACATCACAGATGATTTTACCAGATTCTCATCTGGACCATGTATTCATAATGAAGTTAAGGTATGCCATGGCACTATAATTTGTTTTTATCAGAGGTCACTTAAGTCCGTTAAGTGCAAAGTACAGATGAACTTGATTAAATAATCATCCTGTTAAATCAAGCACTTGGGTGATTAGTAAACTGATGATTTTAATTATAGCAGCTCTCTGGCCCAGGATAGGAAAATGTAGAAAACACTAAACTAATCATCTTTTGAGATTATTATTGGATGCTCTTCTGTGCATTTTGGAAGCTAAATCACCAAAACAGGAAAATAGTATATTATCCTTTAACTCGCCCCACCCCAAAGGAATGTGTCATCAGAGAGAAAGAGAAGAACATTAAGTCACTTCAAAAAATAAATCTGGGTGACAGCATTGCAGGCAGTTTCGTACTGCCTGCCATTCTTTTAGCTTAACTGTATTTTTTTTTCTGCTTTGAATGCTATTTCGTGCTAAGGGAAGTGTTATTTTAAGAACAAAGAAATTTAAGGCAGCACACTGTGTGTTAATATTAACCAGCTTTTTGATACACTTGATCAAAAACACAACACTGGCTCATAAGGTTCCATTAACAACTAACCTGCTCGGTATGGCCATGATTGAGGTTCTTTTTTACTGGACAACGCAAGTTGTACAACACTGGTCTTGCTTCTCCGGCAGGGATGAATAGTTCATTTGCCTGACGATCTCAGCAAAAAGTTCATCCACCATTGATTTACTTTTTGCTGACGTCTCCATGAAAGGACAGCCCCATTCTTGAGCCAGAGCTCTGCCTTCTGAAGACATAACCTCTCTTTCTGGTTCCAGATCCACTTTATTTCCTACTAGGATTAGTGGGACTTTTTCATATCTCTTCACTCTGACAATCTGATCTCTCATTGGCTTGATATCCTATTCAAACAATCACAAAGAGAAAAAAATTATGCTGTTGGCATAATCATAACAGAAGTATTACAATAGCACAAGAAGTCATCTCTTAGTGAGTATACAAAGCTGAATCAAAAATAAAACCACACACCCAAGTAGAAAATTGTCATTTTTTCCATTGAAGGAGGAACTAGATAATTTACACAGACCCTACCTGCTGGGTTTCTGTCAAGAATATAAAATGTAGTTTGCACACTAACCTTAAGATTCATTGAATCACTCATTTCCTTCAGTCTATACTGATTTAAAAGGCAAATTCCTAAATATGATGAGTCCATTTGTACAGAAGGATGTCTGGCCATCTCCTTAAACCTGCTGGCTTGTCATCACTCCCTGAAGCACCTGTTATCCTAGCAGGGCACTGCAGGATCTATGCATTCCTAGCCATTAGCAAGAGTGCCTGAAAGGACGCGTTTTAGCGGGGAACAAAAACACTGTCCTGCCTAGAAGACCAAAGTTAAAAACAGATTCATACACTTAAATGTTTCCATTTTAAATTTAATGGTACACCTTTATCCTGGTAAAATCAAACACCTTAAAATACACTAGAAACTATTGTAACAGTGAGCAGTTCCTGGAAGAGACAATGCACTGGAGAGTCTGGGAGGGAAGCAGTCATACGTTCTTTGCCTACATTCGGTTTTACAACTTGAATTTTCTCCCAAGTGTATTATTTTTTTCTAAGTAATTACTATTAATTACAAAAGATAAGAGCCTTAGCAATTCTCTGGTAGCATCAACTTTCAGAGGGGCTACTGGCGTAAGACAGTATTATAGATTAAATACTAACATTACAATTTTTAATCTTTCATAGCTTAAAAGGTTTGACTTAAATATAAAACATGTTTAATTTGAATAGTTACAATAAACAGGACATTCACACACAGGATGAAGGAAAAACAGGACTGTGGACATTTACAAAAACAGTTATTTGATATTTTCAGCAATTTTGTTTGATCATTCAGTTTTCTAGGTTAGGTTTGTTTTTCCCTGTGTCCTTACAGAAATACAAGTCAGGTAAGAATCCAAACTTAATGGCATTTGGGCTTAAGAGTTTAAGTCTCTCTTGAAATAATGGCAGTTCTTCACTCCCTATTTATGACTATCACAGAAGTAGATATAATGAAAATCGTATGAAAAATACTTCAAAAGACTTCCAGTTTCAAGAGAGTCAGCTAATAGAATAACAAATCTGAGGATCCTTTGGAAGAAAATGTCAAATAGCACCGTTAGTACTTTAGTACTTTCTGGGGAAAAATGCTTTTATGATTCTATTGTTTTGGAATTTAAGCCTACATAAAATGAACTTTAATTTGGTCACAATAACTTTGATTACCCAGAATTTACCATCATTAAAAGAAAACAAATCCTGAAGTTGCTATATCTGGTTACAGAAAAGTTCGCTATAGTACTTTAAATACTAAGAAAGGTGAAATTAGCACGTTGTATTGGCTAAAGCACTTAATGTCTCTTAAGTACACAACATTGAGTGCATATCTTTAAATGCAGAAAAAATATCCATTTCCTAAATCAATGGAGGTCAATATAACGGGTCAATATGAGGTTATTTATTTTCAAGGAATAAATAGCAACACTTACTGCTTCTCAAAATAATATTAAACCTTCAGTCTGTCTCCCAGTTAAGGACAGGACAGATTTTTCTGAAGAAGACCACCTCTAGTTTGACCACCCAGTGGGGTTAGAAATCTGCACTTGTTCAGTGTTCCCAGATCCACATATTTTCTAAAAATTTAGTCAGTGTTATCAGAAACAACTTAGATCAATTGCAGGAGAGTCATTCTAGATTTTTGTTTGTTATTAATTCTAGGTACTAGTCTTTTCAACTAGTAGTCTTTCATACGCCTCAAGTAAGAAAATGCCTAGAAGGCAGGTTCACTTCTTCATCTTGCAGCACTAAGATGAGTGAATCTGGTTGAGAAACTTGGGTGAGAACAGAGGAGAGGGACAAGGCAGAAATAGAGGAGTTATCTATGCAAGAGATAATCGGGCTCCACATAATTTTCCTTCCCCAGGGCTCTACTTACCTGAGATTAGCTGCTAAATGTCGTTTTGTCGAGGATATATACTTGTTGAAATGAACAAGCAACTTCAGAGAGTTCTATTCCAGGCTAAACATACACTAACCTGTTTCTTCGTCACTTTTCTTTGATTTAAAAATAACTTTAAAAAATGTGTTGACGGTTACTTCAGTACTCTCTACAGAAACAATCCGATACTTTTCGGTGCCAGGAGTAACCTCAAAAATGTGCCATGTCTAACTTTCAAAAGCAAAACATAGTCATTAACGCACGGTTCAAGCCAACCAGAAGTAAACGGAGGATTACCACACCCCCTTCGAACAAATTACAAGATTTGGTTTGGTTACCTGAAAAGACTGTTGATTAACCAGACTATAAACCAGGATGAAACCTTGGCCGTTTTTGATGTAGAGATCTCTCATGGAGGCAAACTGCTCAGTTCCTGCGGTGTCCAAAATTTCCAGCACGGAGGGGGAAGAGTCCACTTCGATCTCTTTGCGGTAGAAATCTTCAATGGTGGGGTCATATTTCTCAATGAAAGTCCCAGTGACAAACTGCACAGTAAGGGCAGATTTGCCAACCCCTCCGCTCCCTAACACCACTACCTTGTATTCCCTCATGAGTCTCACCTTCACCAACTCCTACTAGAGGGAGGGAAAATAACGCCCCGCTCGCTGCAGCGCGCTCGGGGAGGCGGAAGGTGGGCGGAAATCGGCGAACTGGAGAGGAGAGTGCGGAGAAGCAGAGGGCCAGACGGGGGAAGAAGAGGAAGTTAAAGGAGGGGGAGGGGAAAGAGCGAAGTGTCGAGTGGGTGGGGAAGGGATGGTAATGCCCTTCCTATAGGAACCGAAGCCCCGGCAAGGGGCGTGGGGAGGAGAGCGAGCCCGGAGAAGCCCGGCGAGGGCGGGGAGATGCGACGCGCCCCCCGGAGGGCCGGGGTTGGGGCCGCGGAATCGGGGCCCCTGCGCGCGTCGGAGGAGCCCGCAGCCCGGGGCTGCCTGGCACTCCTCCCCCGCCCTGCACACAAAGGGGCCCAGAGACCCCGCTTCCTGCTCGCGCCGCTGAGCCGGCCCGGCCTGTGGGGCTCCGCTCCAGTCACTGCCTCCGGGCGGGTCTCTGGGCCGCGGCTTCTGCGGGCGTCGTCCGGCCTGCGACGGAGGAGAGGGGCGCACGTCACCCGCCCGCCCCGAGCGAGCAGCCCCGCTGCCGCCTGCCTCAGCTCCCACCCGGCCTGGGCTTCGGCCAGCGCCGCCGCTTACCCTGCCGTCCGCACCCGCCCGGCCGCCCGGGAGGATCTGTCACGCCAAGGCCATGGCCAGCGCCCGGCTCCTCGGTCTCTCCGCCGCCCCAGCGCCGCTGATCGCACAGGGGAGAGGGGCGGGGGCCGTCCGGCTGCGGCGGAGGCCACTCCAGGCGAACTCACCTCTTTTATTTCTCACCCACCCCCCACCCCCCCCCAGCGCACACCCGGAAGGGTTTCCCTGACACACTGGCTGAGGTGCCCCAGTTCCCCGAGACGGGACGGGATCACTTCCGGTGGGGAAAGTCCCACCTCTTCGAGGCGAGCCGGGTGGCGCTGGGGCCGCGCCCTGCTGAGCGACACGGCCGGGGACGGTTTCGGGCCGGGGCTACGGCCTTGGCAAACGGCCTCTCGGAGAACCTCCAGCGTCCATCCTTTCCCCGCCCGTCCGCTCCCCCGCGGCTGCTGCTGCTGCTGACAGTCCCACCCCCAAACCCGTTGAAGTCCCTCCGCGGCACGGCGGCCCCCAGCCGGGCCTGAGGTCTGATCTCCTCGTCGGCCGGTGCACTGCAGCCAGTAAGAGCCTAACCACCGGGAGAACGCTGTATCTCCCTGGACTAGAAGTGGCAGGGAAAATAGAACACCTAAGAAAGTTCATTCTCTTTGCTGATATTTCTTGCCCTTGATATTTCTTTGGAAACACGTGCAGACTACCCTTAAGACTTCACTATTGCTCTGATGTCGTTGTGATGTTGTTTTACGTATCTGGCAAATCTGCCTTGACTCCACCAGCAAATGCCTTACTCATTTCTTTCGTCTCACCAGGCTCAAAAACAACAAGATTAGAAATAGACTTCATGGTACTCTAACTCAGCTTTGCCCCTTTTTCATTCCAACTACCGCACAGCAGGAAAGGTAACCAATATTCAGAGAATAGTTGATTGGAAATTGTTTAGGCCTGCAGACTAACTTTTCTAATTTTTCATTATCTGCATGCACAGGAGTTTGCAAGGGTGGCTCTTCCACGTTGAAGTTTGTTTTTACAGCCATCCTTCATACTCCTTGAAATTCAAAAGCAAACGACTGGCATTAAACAGTAAGCTTCTATTTTTAGATAAAATTGTTACTTCTTACATACCTCACTCGGCCAACTTTCTATTTGTAAACTTTGTGTCAGATCCACAGGGCCCCAAGGCCAGAAGGCTAGTTTATATTTTAGGCATGTCACTCCCTTTTTGATTGAAGCATGCATCCAAAAACCTGAGAGACTCAGTGGCCAGTCAAGTTAAATTGTCTCCAAATTCCCTTACTTGCAAGCCCTAATGGCCAGACTGTATAAAAAGAGATTTTAATTGCTAGGCATTAGAAAGCAGACAAATCACAAAAGTGTGAAGTCCTACTGTGTCTCTCCCTGAGTACTCCCCAGTGACACTTACAGTATCCAAAGAACAGTTTAGTTCAATTGCTTCTCGGCCTAGGACGGGTGCAATCTGTCCCGCGAAGTCCCCAGCTCTGGCTCCAGCTGGCCTGAGTCCCGCCTGATATTTGAAGCGCTGCCCTCTACTGGAAGAGGTTCTATGAGTTATGACCTATGAGTCTCCCCATAGGTCACTGCTCTTTCCACACGTGCTGTTGCCTGATTTGGAGCTCTGTTGCCCATCTCCCTGTCTAGCTGTCTCCAGACTGTCTGGTGGAACCCCCCAGGCCTGCTTGTGAGTGAGTCTGGAAATTCTTCTTCTGATCCAGCAATCAGTGTTGAGGAATCATAGCAAGTTTCTATTCTATTATGAAACTGTCAAAACAGGGAGATCTTCTTTTTCAGGTCATCCCACCTGTTGGCAACTCTAATATCTCTGAATGTGCTGGCCAAAGTGTTTTGGAGAGTTTTTTGTTTCTCCACATAATGGAACATACACCTCCCCTCAGTATTGAGTCCAGTTGGTCACTCGCAACTACAGAGTTGACAAATGTCACACTCAGTCTTAAGACCCTTCTAAACTTTCTTGGAAAGGGGATTCATTAGAGCAGAATTTAGGAAAGCAAACAGTTGGAAGTAACTTAAGTGCCCCTCAATGGACGATTTAAAAGAAATAATGTGTGTATGTATCTTCACAAAATGGGATCTATGCAGCTATTAAATAGAGAAAAGTATATTTGTAAATGTTGATACAAAAAGATGGTCAAGATAGTGTAAGGCTGAAAAAAAGCAAGATACTTTTAACAAATATGTAGTTGCTTCCATTTATGTAAAGTATGTGGGAATGTGTGTGATACATAGTTATATAGCCATTAAAATATGAAACATTCATTATTGGTGAGGAGTATTATGGAAGGACTTTCATATCTCCATAACATTTCAATTTGTAAACAGTGATCAGGTATTTTGGGGAGAAAGGGCAATAAATATATTTTATAATATTTTTAAAGGGGAAAAAAAAGAAAGTTGTTGATCATCACTTCCTCAAAAAACAACGCCCTGTCTAGGGGTCAGTGAAGAGGTCAGCCCAATTTAAACAAACACCCTCCCACTGCCCATTTTCTCCCCAAACATCTCTATACTTAGAGAAGTATTTTCACGTACATTATCTCATTAGAGTCCAGTTGTTCACCAATTTACTTTTATTAGGCGATGAGAGTAGAAAGACCAATTAGAAGGGCATAGCCTAGCAGTTGAGTGTTAAGCGCTCTGAACTGAGGCAGACAAGCATTTAAACTGCAGCTCCCCCACCTCCTAGCTGTGGAACTTCAAACAAGTGATTTCATCTGTCTGAGCCTCTAATGCTTCATCTGTAAAAGGGAGCTAATTATTTAATGTGAGAATTTAATGAAGTATTATATGCAAAATGTTTAGCACAGCATCTTGCCCATTATGAACCTTCAATAATGCTAGCTATTTGGTTTTTATTTAAAAGATTAATAAAGTGCTATTAAAAAATAGTAAACATAGGAAAACAAAACTTAAGACGACCAAATACCTCCAAATAGTACAAAAATAATTCAGTTACTATTTCTAAACGTGTTTATTGTTAAAAGCTTCTTGTGTTTCCTTTCAGGGGAAAAAAAGTGATATGTTAGTAGATCCATCAATCCATCTTGTATATATATTTTTTAAATTACTACAAAAGTAATCTTACTATACATACCATTCTGTGCCTTGCTTCTTTTCACTTACTGTATCTTGATGATTTCATTTCAGAACAGAGAGATCTATTTCATGTTTTTTTAATGCCTAAACCATGATTTAGTTAAGCAGTTCCCTATTGGACACTGGTTGCTTCTAGTTCTTTACACAGAACATATTCCACATATATTCTGGCAACCACTCTTAAGAGTGAATTTCCAATAGCTCAGTAATTGAAATAAAGGGTAATCGCATTTAAAATTCTTCTGGTAAATATTGCCAAATCGTTCTTCTTCACACCAATTCACATTCCTACCAACACACTATAACTATATTTGTTTCTTTATAATCTCATCCTAAGTATTACTAATTTTGGGATTTTATAGCTACTATTACTCGCTTTAGGGTATTTTTATGACAAATACAGGGTAGCATTAGAGAAGAAATTTGGACTTCAGCGTCAGACAGTCCTAACATTGCCCTTTGCCACCTAGTTCTCCATTTCCTCATTTATAAAGTTGGACAGAATAGCAGTATCTAGCTCATAGGGCTCCTTTGAAGAATAAATGAGACAATCCATTCAAAGCACTTAGCCTTCCAAACACTAACTGCTTAATAAATGTAAACTGCTCAAATAATAGTTTTCCACTCCCAAGGCTCAAAACCAGGGAAGGGTAACTTGCCCAGAGCGTATGCCCTTGAGAATCAGAACTTCTGCTTTAATTCTCTATCAGCCTCTACTCCAAAGCAACTATTACTTGGGTAATCATTTGCAAGAACACAGCCGATTTTTACCGTAGTGGGAAGAAACTATATGCAGAATATGTAAGTTACAGGCTCATGACCTCGTTTTATGTATTTACCTTGGCACAAGTTTAAAGTGTAAACAGTTTGCCTCAGGCACCAGTTGTTCACTTCTTTATCCCTCCGTTCCAGTTTATACCTCCTTCAGCTGCACTCCCTGGAGCATTAACTGTTCCACTGTTCCGGATAACTTTGCCTGACTTCCACCCTCCATGTGAACCCTTTCACCTTCCAGGTCCTGGGAAAAAAAAAATCAAGCCCTGTTCTATCCGTATCCCAGGTGTTTCCCTTCTCTTTGGCTTGAAGTTGGCTTTGAATTCTTGGAAAACCAAGTGAGTAGCACCCTTGGTCTTTGCTACAGAAACCTTCAGCAGGGCATCTCCTTTTCTTATTTCAGTTTGTTAGGAGACCCCTTGATATCAGATTGTCCTGAGTTCTTTTCACATCTTTCTAGTCCCTAAAATTGCAGTCATCCCTTTCAAATACTGCCTTCAGCTATACCAGCTATTGGTTCTGCAGGTCAGTCTCCCCAGGTACACATAGGAAAACAAAACTTAAGAACCAATTTTATATCTTCATTATCTTTTTCTCATTATAAAAAATGTTCTTTGCAAAAAATTTTTTCAAAGAGGTAATCCCACTACACAAAGAAACCAAAACAATAAATTTTAGTGCCTTTCACAGTTTTTTAAATCTGAGAATGAAAAAATATTTCTTAAACTAAGAATGTGATCATATAATTTGCAAGCTGCTTCTTTTGCTTACAGAAACCCGTCTCATAAAAATACTCACGTCCCCTCATAGATTGTGTACACCTTCTTCCTCATAGCTTTAGCTTTCCTACAACCCCAATTAGTATTTAATCACATCCAATCTTGCCCACCTGGAATCCTTCATACAACCAATGGGATTTCATGTGAAGGGCTGTTTACCACAGAGGCCACTATCCCAGCAGGGCCAGGCAAAGCACTCCTATAGAGACCCCAAACTCTAATTTTGCAGAAGTGGCATCTCAGAAACTGAGTTCCTTAGACCTCAGAGGCCTGCTAAATGGTGGTATACTTAAAACAGATCTCAACTCTTTAATCATTTCCCTCTTCATTTCATGTTTAATTTCAAATATAGTAGTTAGGAAAGCATTATGTAGCCTATTAAGTACCAAATATATTTAATACATTAATATTAATAATAACCCAATTCTTTTTTTTGCTTATATCTGCATATTTTTGGCAATTTTAATCTGTTGTGTAATCATACTCTTAATTTACATTCATCTGAATCACCTGGAGGTGTTAAACTCCAGAAGGCC